CAAAACCCCAAGAATTATTTTCCCTGAGTTTATTCTCACCAATTTTTTTATTATCTTCTAGACTTGTTCTTGCAATTATTTTGTGCTGTCTTGGCTTGATTTCCAGTTTTGCTATTGTTTTACTCACAGTTACATATTTACTTGCCAATGTTTTCCACTTTGTTTTTCTTTACCAAAAGTGCTATTGTTTATTTTGACTTATATGACTGGTATCCTTTTTTTTTTGTCACTGACTGTGGTATCCTAAATTAACAAATGTGTGACAAATTTGGTATGTGTTAGTTATTAATGATCAAACTTGAAGGAAAAAATTGCCAATAGAAAAAAAAGCAAGGATTCAACAAATCAATTATAAAAAACACAATCACATCCAAGTAAATCTATATTTCCTTGATAGATTTTCTGGCTGTTATCTATAAATCATGTTTACCATCTCTCACAAAAACAACAAAATCTGGACCAGAATTGTACTGATGTGTGAACCGGTGTTTTGAATATTTTTCATTAAGATTCATTAAAAAAAGTCCCTTTAAATTTTGTAAAGAAGTTACAACAATGTCAGCAAAGTTGATAAAATGTACCCTTTAGTATGCCATGGAATCAACTTCTTTACACTCAGACCGGTGAAGTTAAACCGGCTTTGAGTTCTCCATGGAATCACAATTTGAGACCAAAACCAAGAGGAAACAATGGGAAATACCCATTTGCATCAATGTCAAGCGGCAACTGCTCTACATTTTTAAACCAGCTCACTGGTAACTTCCCCTCGAAATCATAATCTCCGAAAATTACATCAGCAATACCTTGTCCTTCGCTTCCAGGGAGCCAAGCAGCTACAAGAGCCTCTGTCTTTGTAAGAATCTGCGGCTCTAGAACCATAGGCCTTCCTGAGAACAAGATCGCTAGCGTTGGGGTTTTATCTGCAACCATTGTTACAATGTTACTATTATGACTTCTGAGTTACCCCCTTATTAGTATCTGCATAGGGCGCTTCCCCCACCGCAACAATTGCATAAGAGAATCTTTTTCCTGAGGCTAAGGTTTCTTTTGACGGATATATCTCGTAGATCACTTCTGTTTTTTCTCCAACTGCCGCTTTTATGGCATCTAAAAGCGTTGTGCCTGCATTTTCAGACAATAACGTATATAAGATTTACGAACAAGAACATTTAGCATCAGCAACTGACGTCACTTTCCAAACTTCATTGCAGTACGTAGCTTTTATTACCGATTGTGATCCTTCCGCTTTGACCGTACATTGTCTTTGTCCATCCACCGCACTGATATCCAAGATCATCCACGTGCTTTCCAACAACTAGAATTCTCTCGGCGTTGCAATCTAGTGGCAAAAACCGTCCACAGTTGCCGTTGTTCAGCAGAACTAACGACTTTCTCTATGTTCCTGAATGCGTGGAAACAGAGTAAAAATCTTAGCACTCCGGTCTAATTTCAATTTAAACAAGAGAGCTTCACCTTGCAACCAACGGTAGGCAACAAAGATCGGTCTGTAAGAGGATATTCGAAGAGACCGGCAACAAACTTCACTCTGAGTATTCTTTCAACAGCATCATCGACACGAGCCATCGGTACTTGTAAGATTATGAGGAGTATAGGATGAAGAAAATCAATGATGATGATGACGAAGAGAGAATAAAGTATTGTGGAGAAGATTGTGTTGTACTAGATTAAAGAACAATGGAGYCATACAAGAGTTTATYTAGATTACAAAGATAACCTAGGGACTTAGGGTTTCTCCTAAAACAGACCCATTTAATGTCTTTGTATCTTGATGGGCTTCAAGCCATTTTATTCTTCTTCTTTTCAACACTCCCCCTCAAGCTTAGCCAGAGAATAGAACATATGACTAA